AGAGAGGGCAAAAGGGAAGGATACAAGAAAAGGCTTGTTATTTTTTCATTTACCTCATGCCAGTTCCTAAAGCAAAAAAATAAGCAATCAAACAAAAAACAACAACAAACAAAAAAATCAAATTCTAATAGTTCCGACATTTTTTAACAAAGGAGTTAATATGAACCACATATGGCAGAACGGGGTGCTATTCTGAAGCCAAAGCCTGAGCAATTTAACTTTGTGGAGCCCCCTGTAGTGTGGGACCCCGGGCAATTGCCCTGCTTGCTATCTCCTATCACCAGCCCTGGCTTTTATATGCAGAAAAACAATTGTTGTGGCACAGGTGGGCCGTGGAGATTTTATAGCATATGTGCGTGTGTGTGTGTGTGTGTGTGTGTGTATGTGTGGGGAAGCTCAGAAAGAAAAAGCTTGAGAACCCCTGCTCTAGATAATGGTGTCTAGTTGCAGTCGGTCAGCACTCTGAGAGCCCTCAAGCACGGCACCGTATATTGCAAGTGTTTGCAGCAACTCCGAAGAAAACACACACAGCTTATTCCCCATGGCAGCCCCTCCAACAACATGGAGACAATTTGTCATTAATACACTAGGACAATGGCATATGTGGGGCCAGATTATTGCACAGTTCCCATTTAGGCCCTTAAATAGAATCATATTTCCCAAAGTTCTCATCACTCAGCTCCTCCAATTGGAACACTAAGAGGCAGCTTTTCCAAAGGGATCAGCTCATTGGTGTACGTGTACATATGTGTGTGCTGGGGTGTATACACACACACACACACATGGTTTACATGCTGATGTGGTACAAAGGATTCATCAGTGTGAGTTTGGATGGAGTGCATAACTCACAACTCCAAGAAGGGAAGCCTTGAATGAATTGAGCAGCTTGTCCCAAATCTTCATCCCACTATCAGATATGGCACATGTGTAGGGCCCTACCAAATTCATGGCCATGAAAAACATGTCACGGACCGTGAAATCTGGTCTCCCCCTGTGAAATCTGGTGTTGTGTGCTTTTACTCTATACTATACAGATTTCGCAGGGGAGACCAGCATTTCTCAAATTGGGGGTCCTGACCCAAAAGGGAGTTGCAGGGGGGGTCACCAGGTTATTTTAAGGGGGTCACAGTATTGCTACCCTTACTTTTGTGCTGCCTTCCGAGCTGGGAGGCTGGAGATCGGTGGCTATTGGCTGGGCACCCAGCTCGGAAGGCAGCACCCCGCCAGCAGCAGGGCAGAAGTAAGGGTGGTGACAGCACACCATTCCACCCATACTTCTGCGCTGCTGGCTTCAGAGCTGGGCAGCCGGAGAGCGGTGGCTGCTGACTGAGGGCCCAGCTCTGAAGGCAGCAGTGCAGAAGGATGCCAACACCATACCATGCCATCCTTACTTCTGTGCTGCTGCTGGGGTTAGAGTGTTTAACTTAAGTAGTTAAGACATATTTTAAAGCATCATTCAAGGCGAAATGGCTCATTAACACCCCTCCAGTCATAGGGAGGAAAGGAAGGGGTGGGTGGGAGTGGGGAGGAGAATAGTGTTGTTAGTGGGTTATAGATGGTTGTAATAAGCATAAATCCAGTGTCACTATTCAGTCCATGATTTTTAGTATCTAGTAAAGTTATGAATTTAAGCTCCCAGATTCATCTTTTGAAAGTGTCGTATAGATTTCCTTTGAGATGAGGACTGATAGGTCAGATATAGAGTGATCGCTTTCCTGTTGAGTTCATTCGCTAGTGTGGTGATTGTATGGTTTCACCCACATAGTTGCTCTTGGGGCATTTAGTCTCTCCAATGAGACAACACCTGCCTATAGCCTCCTTGGGCCATGAGATAGAGGACTTTAAAACTGACCTTTTTATGTATAAAGCACCTGTCATGGGCCCAAGAGTAACTCTTTTCCTCTGGGCTTTTGGGCTGGTATAAATATGGGGAGAAATCCCACATCTGGGGAGAAAAGGAGCAGCCATTTCTCCAGTAGGTTGACTTTGTTTGTTTTCTAAATGGCGGCTGTTTGATGCTGCTCGGGTGTTTGGAATGTTGGAATGAGTCAGGAGATTAGTGGGCAGAAGGCAGTGAGGCTGTCAAAGGTGTGATAAATTCAGGTTACATAGCTGTGCAATTTATCATCTGGCACAGCACGTGGTTGCTGCCTTCACATATGTGACTGTCTATTGTCAATTGTATATTGTGCGTCATTACACATTGGCCACCTAATATAAACTGTATAAGTAGCAAGGGTCTAATCACATTTGCTATAGTTAAGGTTGTAAAACACTTGCTACCATAACCCCATATTCATTTGATTATAAAGTGCTACAGCATTCAGCATTAAGCTGACCCCTTCCGTACTTGGTCTCAGCTATGACGGTAAATTTAATTTTTTTCCAAATGTGTGTTTATGATTTCAGTTCTGCATTCTATTTATGTCTGGTGTCACATGGAAAACACAGACACTTGACTCATGGGTCACAGGCCTATTTGCATTAGGAGTGGCTCCTCGCATTCCTTTCTAACTGGTCACACAGGTCCCCAAAGGAAAATTATTGGAAGGCCTAATGATTTGGATGGCAATGTAAACACAAGTATTGAGGATAGAAGTTCCAGGATAAGGGAAGGAGAATCTCCAGGAAGTGTTAACATGAGTAATTAAGGGTGAGCTGCAACTAGACTGAGCTGTTTATTTTTGTGATGTATCAAGAATTCCTGAATTGCCTTTTCCCCTCAAAAAACTGTTTTTTACAGAGGAATGCGGGTCATATCTATCCTGAAGGCCCCAATGGAGACTCAATGAAATGGTGATATCACAAGAGTCATGAGAGCAGCTGAAGCTTTGTCTATATTAGGGAAATGTTCTGAACATTTACTCCTGAATTGGCGTGAGCAACATCAGGAGCCTTAGTAAAGGTAGGTTTCAGAGTAGCAGCCGTGTTAGTCTGTCTTTGCAAAAAGAAAAGGAGGACTTGTGGCACCTTAGAGACTAACCCATTTATTGGAGCATAAGCTTTCATGCGCTACAGCATCCGATGCATCCGATGAAGTGAGCTGTAGCTCACGAAAGCTTATGCTCCAATAAATGGGTTAGTCTCTAAGGTGGCACAAGTCCTCCTGTTCTTTTTTAGTAAAGGTAAAGTTCCTGTTTTTAATACTCTATTAATCTTCTCAGTGCAAGTCTCAGCGAACTCTATCTGTGAGCATGTGCAAGGAGTGACTACAGAGGGTTCTTATTGGGGAACTGATGTTAAGGAAACTGGTGAGATCATTGTGTACTCACTTGTGTAAATGAGTAACCTGTCTGATCCATTCCTCACATAAAAAGCACCACACCCTGAAAGCATTACACGGGTATGAGCCAAACACCGAAACTACAGAATGTAACAAAACCACCTTCTCCACCTTCTCATTCTTCTCTTCTCTATGAAGAACAAGGCGTCCTGGTGTAAAACTGTCAATTACTGAAAAGGGGAAGGGCAGAGACAAAAGCACATATTGAAGGAAAGAAGCTTATAGAAACCTGTCAATCTCATACGTCACACCTATATTTGCAGCTTTTTCTTGGATAAAACTAAGCAATCAGAAAGCATATTAGGACGTGCTGAGCATGAGAACCTGTTTGTGACTGATATAATCACAAAGCTCAAAGTTACAATACTGTACATGTGATTGTCCAGACATACTGCCAAATAAATGCCACCACCTCTCCCCTGGATATCCTGGCCACTTGTTCTATGACATGATGCTGTTCCCATAGGAATGGATTGAAGGGGGCAGTTCGGGGGTGGCTATTCATATGGCCGGGGCAGTTGGAGGATGGTTGACTTGGAGAGTGGCTATTTGAAGGGGGCAGTTGGGGGGTGGCTGTTCACATGGCCGGGACAGTTGGGGGGCGGCCGATTGAAGGGGGCAGTTGGGGGCGGCCGTTTGAAGGGGGCAGTTGGAGGGCGGCTGATTGAAGGGGCAGTTGGGGGGCGGCTGATTGAAGGGGGCAGTTAGGGGGCGGCTGATTGAAGGGGGCAGTTGGAGGGCAGCTGTTTGAAGGGGGCAGTTGGGGGGCGGCTGATTGAAGGGGGCAGTGGAGGGCGGCCGTTTGAAGGGGGCAGTTGGGGGGCGGCTGATTGAAGGGGGCAGTTGGAGGGCGGCTGATTGAAGGGGCAGTTGGGGGGCGGCTGATTGAAGGGGGCAGTGGAGGGCGGCCGTTTGAAGGGGGCAGTTGGGGGGTGGCTGTTTGAAGGGGGCAGTTGGGGGGTGGCTGTTTGAAGGGGGCAGTTGGGGGGTGGCTGATTGAAGGGGGCAGTGGGGGCAGTTGAAGGGGCAGTTGAGGCGGCCGTTTGAAGGGGGCAGTTGGAGGGCGGCTGATTGAAGGGGGCAGTTGGGGGCGGCTGATTGAAGGGGGCAGTGGAGGGCGGCCGTTTGAAGGGGGCAGTTGGAGGGCGGCTGTTTGAAGGGGGCAGTTAGGGGGTGGCTGATTGAAGGGGGCAGTGGAGGGCGGCCGTTTGAAGGGGGCAGTGGAGGGCGGCCGTTTGAAGGGGGCAGTTGGAGGGCAGCTGTTTGAAGGGGGCCGCTGCGGGGCGGCTGTTCTAACGGGACAGGGGTTCCTATGGTTATCGTTGCTGGCTGGGGCAGTGGGGCCACAGGCCCTGCTCGGCAGGGCCATCCCCTGGCGCCAGGCGCGGCACCCACCCAGGCGAGCAGAGAGACAATGACAGCCGGGGGCGGCTGGCGGGGGCGGGTTTGAGCGGGGACGCATGTCTACACTGGCAGCGCTTTAGCGTGCCTGGTGTGGCGGCGGCAGCAGCGCCCAGCGGCGGGGCACTGTCTACACTAGCGCCGGCGCAGACAAGCAGCGAGCCAGGCCGCGACTCCCGATCCCGCCTGGCCCCGCCCCCTTCCCTCTGGACACGCCCATTCCCCCCGCCTCACGGGGCCTTGCCCCGCCCGCTCCCCCCGCCCCTGCCCCGCCCCGCCCCGCGAGCCAGCCCCGGCTCTCGCGAGCTTTGCGGCGAGCCCTCGCCGGCCGGGCCAGTGCCCGTCGGGCGGGCGGTGGGTCGGGATGTCGCTGTCGGGCTCCGCGCCGCGCTGGGCCCCCACCCATGTGCAGGTGACGGTGCTGCGGGCCCGGGGGCTGCGGCCCAAGGCCAAGGGGGCCGGCGGCGGCAGCGACGCCTACGCGCTGATGGCGCTGGGCAAGGAGAAGTTCGCCACCTCGGTGGCGGAGCGCTGCCTGGGCGCGCCCGTGTGGCGGGAGGAGGCCACCTTCGAGCTGCCGCCCCGCCGGCCCGGCCACGGCGGCGAGCCGGCCCTGCAGCTCACCGTGCTCCACCGCGCCCTGCTCGGCCTCGACAAGTTCCTGGGCCGGGCCGAGGTCAGCCTGGCCGAGCTGCAGGAGGAGGGCGGCCGCCGCAGCACCCGGTGAGTCCCGGGGGGGCTTGTTGTTTACCGCCCCCCCCCCCCCCCCGCTGCCTAGCTGGGGCGAAGCTCCAAGGCTGAGCCGAGCTCCGGGGGTCCCTGGCGAGGCGAGCTCGCCCAGGCTCGCCCAAGCCACCCACGCTGGGATCGCCCCGGCGTTTGGGCCCCAGCGCGGGCCCTCGCCGAGCGGCGGGTTGCTCGGGCTTGTGGTCTGTCCTGTCTCCCGGTTGGTCTCTCTTGGGCTCAGGCAGTTTCTCTTGCCTCAGTGGGAGGAAGGGGGGCCTCTGCCATTCAAGCCCGTTCCCTCTTCCCTGGTCTTGGAAAGCCCGCAGTAGATCAGGACCGTTGGATCGCGGGTTGGGTGCATCAGTTTCGTGGTGCAACATGTCGCATGTCAGCACGTTACCACGATAAAGGGAGCGCCCACAGATGTGTGTGGGATGGAGTCAGGCTGGGTTGGCAACCAGGGAGTGCCCTGTGATAACAAGGAGTTCATTTGAGAAGTGGGGAAGCTGTAAATCAGCTGAAGTTTTAATGTGTGTTTCTGTGTAGACAAAGTTACAGCCGGGCTAGTGTGTATTCGCAAAAAGAACAGGAGGACTTGTGGCACCTTAGAGACTAACCCATTTATTTGAGCATAAGCTTTCGTGAGCTGTAGCAAGTCCTCCTTTTCTTTTTGTGAATACAGACTAACACGGCTGTTGCTCTGAAACCTGTGATAACAAGGAGTTCATTTGAGAAGTGGGGAAGCTGTAAATCAGCTGAAGTTTTAATGTGTGTTTCTGTGTAGACAAAAACAACGAGGAGTCCTTGTGGCACCTTCGAGACTAACAAATGTATGCCCAAATAAAAGTGTTAGTCTCGAAGGTGCCACAAGGACTCCTCGTTGTTTTTGTGTACACGGACTAACACCGCTGCCCCTCTGAAACCTGTGTAGACAAAGCTGCTATTATTTCCATGGCAAACTTAATCTAAATTTTGCAGGTAGGTCCTTAGTTTCTGTGGCAGCTTAATTTAAAGTTTTAATAAAATAAATGAGAGAGAATATACCTAGTACAGCATCAAGGATATTAATTTTGGTAAATGTAATGTAGCCTGCATTGTCCTCACATTTTCAATTTTCAGTAGGAGAAACTTGTATTGGTCATGCATTGCAGAAGTTGTCAAGGTGGGGGGAAGCAAGTGGATTGTCAAGTGGGTGAAAGACAGATGAGGTGGTTGATAACTAGGAGGGAGTGGAAAGCAGTTTCAGATTGCAGGATAAACACTTGAGCAGGTGTTTCTGAGACAAATAATGTTGACAGTTAAATTGGATGTCATCATGAGGCTTCTAAAATAACATGCCATTGTGATGAATAGAACCAATTTACATATCTTAGTTATTTTACTGGAGACTTTGGGACAGTATCACTCTGCTTGTTGTTTTGTGTGTAATGTTTCTTCCATGAGGGTTAGAAAAACTTTTTTTTTTTTTAACTTAAAGCTTGTATTTGGGAGCACAATAGGTCAATTCAGGAAATGACAAAAATGTAGGATTGTTTGAAGGAGAATGATTTTTTTTTAAATGGCATTCTGGGATTTGCTATTCAGTTTCAAGTACTTTTCATCAGATATTCTCAGTTTACAAATGGGAGGATATTTTTCTGACTCCTAGTCCTGCAGAATCAGACAGGTTCTTTTTTGTGCATTATCACTGGCAAGGAAGATTCTGTGGGTCAAATTATGCTATTAAACACCTTACTGCAAAACAATGTATACATTAGTGTGTTTACAGTTAATTTCCTTTCCTTGCAAGCAGAAACAGCGTCTCTGTGTCCCTTTTATTTTGAGCGCCCAACACAGTTTGGACCCTATGGGTTGGATCATATCCTTTTATAAAAATAACTGCAGGAGGGGAAATGGGAGGATGAACACTGGAGTTTACAACAGGAGTGAAGATTTAAGTTTTTTAATGTTAGTGTGTTTTAGGTGTGTGCTTATTAAATTATATGTATTTGAAAGGTGGAGTTTATGTTCTGATTTTAGTGTCTTTGGTTTTATACACTCTGGATGTCTTTAATATTATACTACTCTTAAGGCATCATTGCTTCAAAGAGATTATTTGCTTCTGATTTTGCAAGCTGTATTAAGAACTGTGCACTGACTTATTGGAAGTGTTTTTAGTAGGGTCAGGCATATTAAAGGTGAGCTAAAAGGCGTGTTTATTACCATAGTTGTTGTTCTCAACTAAAAACTTATTTACATACGAATAATATTTGCACTACAACAGAAAGATCTAGTCAAATGAGTTTGAGATCTTCACTTGCTGCACTACTGTACCCTTCTGCTACTGGGAAGGAAATGACATTAGTAATAAGCTGACTTCAAGATTAGTTTGACAGTTCTCTTCTCTATATGTTTCATACTAGTGAAAATAAAACTTTCCAATGAAAAATATGAACTTGCATATAAACTTCTAGTGCAGGAAAGTACAACTTTATGATAAAAAATACAATCAATGGGAATCTATTTTAGCAGGCTTTGTCTTATTTTTTAACTATACCAGCTATACCTGTTCTTGTTGTTTTCAGCATGAAGGGATAGTTTTCTCCTCACGCAAAGTATAGTAATTTTAAATATATATTGTTTTATTTGGATTCATAAAAATGTATACAGAAGCTTTGAAAACCCTAACAATACTTAAACTTATAATAACCATAACTGTCAATCAGCTTTAAAAACAAATGTACAAATTAATTGAATAAGTCATTCAAGATCACAGTTTAATTAAATGTAGTTTGCTCAGGGGGCTAACTTGTTATAGCATGGCCCCCTAGGAAAACTACTTGTTTTGTTTGTCTTGAAGTATGATGCCTGAACTAATGACCATCGGTGTATGGTAATTCAAATAAAGGGATTTTTTTAAAGGATTGTATCTACATTCCTTTGAGGAGGAAATCATTGACAAGGTCATCTAAGTAGATAATCTTTAAGACTTTTTTTTAAATTAAAACTGTAGTTGAGTCTTGATAGCACAGTCTTTTCTAAAGCTCCTGTGCAAGTATTTCAGTACAGACAAACTTAAGTTCGCTGGTGCTGTTGTACATACACATGAGTCAGAATAGCATGTTCACAGAAGCTGTGTTGGTTACCTGTAGCAAAGTCTGACTACTTGTGTTACCAAAAAAATTTAAAAAAAAATCCTTTTCCTTTGAAAAGATGAAACTGTCTTATTGATTCAGTGTTGGGGTCAGTCTTTTGCTAGTCATATCCGGAGGAGACTAGGATTGCATTTTATAGGTTAGTCAATGTCCATTTTTTAACCTTTTTTCTATTGTGGAGGCAGTAATGGCTTGGAGTAGGATATGGGTTAGAGGGAAGTTTTCAGTGTTTACTTCTGTTTTGAGATACACTTGGTTTTTGTATATAAATCTTTAAAAAGAAACAGTAACAGTTCACACTGAGAACAGTGAAGTCACCCAAGAATATTTAGCAAGTTTGTAAAGGCCTCTTGTTTAGGTGAAGAATGAAAGTACTGTACAATGCAAGTCATAAACACTCTTGTTCTTAATAAATAAATACACTGGAAGGATATAATCTCCTGGAATAGTAGCTAATTCAGTAAAGTGTTGGTTTCCATTAACTGTGCAATGGAAATTGTATGAAGTTAAAGATTTTTCCTGCTAGCTTTGTACAGCTATCAACATTGCTTTTTCGTATTTGCTGTTTTAATGTAAATGCTCTTGGCTGCTCTGAAATTAGCAAGATTCTGGTTTCTACTGTGAGACTATTCTTAATGGAATAACAGTGTGAGGCTAACATACACTCTAACCATATTATAGACTAATGCTTGTCAATGAGCTATTTTAACTCACTGGGGTAGATCAGCTAGGTAATCTCACAAGGGCAAGTTTGGTCTTTACCTTCACAGAAGTGATAGATTTGGCAGCACTGGCTTCTTGTAAATTGATTATGCCCATGTAAAGCCTCCTCCTAAAGGACTCACAGCCATGAATGCTGGGTTTAATGTGGAGTTAGTTTTCTTCCAGGGACTAATTTTTTTTAAAATGGTTATGGGGTGAAATCAGGCTTACAGGAGCATTAGCACCAACTTGGCCCATAAGCAAGCACTCATTAGTTCTTGACAAAGCTGTGTAGCGCTCTGTTGTGTCGAAGAGCTCTCAAACACACATTTTTCATTAGACATTTAACTGTTTTTTTAAAATGCATTGGAAAAGATGGCATATGGCAGATGTTTATAGCCTATCATAGGAAACGTGTCAAGTTTTAAATATTTATTATTTTGGACTTTAAAAGCTCTTCAGCCATCCAGGTTCAGTATGCAGGAAACTTACTCCACTAGTGGTGTACGATTCTTCCAGGTTTGCTTTTATCCAAAGATCTGAAGAAAATTAAGGAAAAACCTAGTAATGCCTCTTGGAAAAGGTAGTTTTGTCAATAACTGTTTTCATATCTTGTTTCGTGCATTGAAACTTCCTTGTCATTGGGCTGTTGGCTATTGGATTTACTTTAAATTTTGTTGAAGAGGCTATAATAACATAACCCACTATTTTCATTTGAAGTTCTTCTTCTAACCCTCCCACTTAGGCTATGTCTACACTATGGACCTTACAGCAGCATGACTTTACTGCTGCCATGGTGCCACTGTACGGCCTCCTGTGCCGTTGCTCTGTGCTGGCTGGGAGAGAGAGAGCTCTCTGGTTGGCATAATCAAATCACCCCTAATGAGCGGCAGTAGCTATGTCGGCAGGAGAGTGTTTCCCACCGACATAGCGCTGTCCACAATGCTGCTTTCGTCAGGGTGGTTTGTTTTGTTTAATGCCCCTAACCAGCAAAAATGCTACTGTAGATGTAGCCTTAGTTACAGTATGCAGAATATATACAAACTTGGCACTGACTGCTGACATGCACATTGTTCGCTAATTAGTCTATGGGGAAGGTGCCTACATTTTGTTGCACAATATTGCAGAGATTGTGTACTTAAGTTAATAAAAGTTGCATTCCTCGAATATTTAAAGCTTTTTTGTTTGAAAACATTCAACTGGGACCATTTTATTAAAAGGGCTATGCAAAATTTACAGGATAAGCTCACTGATATACATTTGGAGCCAGAAAATACGTAAGAACATTCCTTGAATTAAACACACTTTTAAGTCACAAGAATGGCCAGTGGCTTTTTACATTTAAATGCAAAATATATTCATTTTTATACTTTATTGTCTAAGGCTTGATGAGTGGAACTTATTCAACTCACATTCTCTGATACTCCAATGAGAACGGTCGACATTTCCAGTGTAGGTTTCATTTTAGGGGTTTTGTAATTTGGCTGTTAGTCCTAGGCTGACACTTGGAAGACAATTGCTTTAATAAAACTTGAACTCAAGTTTTATCACCCCTTTCTCTTGAATGCATTTCTTCAGGAGAGCTTTTGATGTTTGTCTGAAAGTGGAAACTCATTTTAGGGTCAACTGTCCGAAATAGTTTTGAAACCAACATTATTTCTGTTCATCCCCAATGTGTAGCCATGCAAAAACGGGCAGTAAGGCATTTTCATGTTTCATGCTTTTCATTCCTCTTGTGATAGAGTACTTCTATTAGTTTGCTTTAATTTAGAAGTTAAGCTGTAAGGGAAAATCCCAGCTCCTTTCCTCTTATAGTTTGTATGGCAACTTCCACCTTCTCTGTGTGTGTGTGTGTGTGTATGTGTATGTATATATATATCTCTTCTTACTATATGTTCCATTCTATGCATCCGATGAAGTGGGCTGTAGCTCGCGAAAGCTTATGCTGTAATAAACTTGTTAGTCTCTAAGGTGCCACAAGTCCTCCTGTTCTTTTTGCGGATACAGACTAACACGGCTGCTACTCTGAAACCTGTCAGTTCTGAGGGGTCAGCAGATATACAGCTCCTAGTGATTGGCAAGAAACTATGCATGGTGCATGATGCCAGTAAATACCTAGTTTCAGAGTTGCAGCCATGTTAGTCTACTCTTTGTGCCAACAAGATTGAAATGTCATCAAGTAGTACACCTTGCCTGGTAATTGAACAAGTTTAATAGTCTAACATAAAGAGCCTGCAGTGTTTAAAACTGTAATTTCAGAAACAGATAAAGGGTTCAAAATATAAGTGCAGAAGTCCTGTCTCTAAAGAATCTTGCTTTTGGTACCTTGATTCTGAATCAGTATTGTATTAACAGACTAAAGTAAATAGAAACATCCAACAATAAGATGCTTGATTCCGAAGAGGAAATTATAGGCGTTTTCCCTCTGCTGTTCAGGAGCTTCTATATTTGAAAAGTATTGAAATACTTACTGAACAGAGACTTGGAAAGAAAGGTATGGGGGAGTATGGAGAGTGCCATAACTGAACTATTTCAGGTGTAAGTGTGTAACTGAATCTCTACAGTTCGTTCTGTTGCACTGGTGCCTTTTCTGGCATACCTGCTTCTCCTTTTAACCTCTGGAAGTTTCAGGACGCAGAAACAAAGTATAAAGTTTGGGAAACCAAAGTGAAATGTTACTTTACCCTTCCTCATTTAATTAATTTTAGTTAATGACTCTCATCAGTGCTTTAATATTGTCTCCTTGAGAAATTGTTGGCCCTCTGGAATTCCTTTATCCCTTAGTTTTGTTTTGTTTTTCCCAATGGGACCTTGCCTACCAGTTCTGAGTTTAAAGTCTTCTCTTTTGAAGTCCATGGTCCTTATTCTGCTGCTCACTATTTCCTTTCCTTAGAATCATGAAATTGATCATTTCACCCAGATTGCCTTCCACCTGCAGATTCACAACCTATTGGTCATAGTCAAGTCTAGAAGGGCTGCCCCCTGTTTATTTCTTTCACTTTCTGAAACAATAAATTGTCTCCAATATATTCCAAGAACTTACTGGACATTTTGTGTTGTCAGATTACTTTTCTAATAGATGTCTGGGTAGCTAAAGTTCCCCCATTACTATCAGGTCTTGTGTTTTGGATATTTGTTTGTTCTAGAAATGCCTCTTCCACCTCTTCTTCCTGATTTGGTGGTCTGCAGTAGAGTTCTACGGTGAGATCATCCCTATTTTTCTCCCTTTTTGTCTTTACCCAGAAACTTTCATCTGGTCTGCCCAGGGTGGATTTGATTTAAATCAAATTGATTTAAATTACTAGTCAGGAAGATTCGATTTAATCATGGATTTCTACATAAATGTGCATTCTTGTTGGTTTTTATAACCTTAATATATATTCTTCACAACTCAGAGATAGATGAAGGTTTCATTTTTAGAAGGTACACACTACACATTTTTAAAGTGATTTATTTTGAAAACTTTTCAGATTAGTTTTACAGGTATATCAGAAAATGAATGATTGATTATTTCATTTACCAAAGGTAATTGAAGCAGATGTTTATGAAGTCACTGGGAGGTGAACTATCTCCAGTTCAACAGGTTAATCATTAATATTTGGAGGATTTTCCTGCCATGCTGTATTAGGAGGAGAACATTACCAGACAGACATTTAAAATGTTTTATTTAACTATTTCTCGCCTTTATATATAATTTATTTAAAAACATTTTTGCTGTTAACAAGCATGTTATCTCCGGAGACACGAATCCATAGTTTGAGAACTGCAAAACTAAGCAGCTCTGATGGCATCTTCTACTGAGTCCCATTGGGTAGTTCAAAAGATTAGCCTAAATCTATTCAGAAGCGCCTGGAACCACGTAAGATTGGGTCCCTAATCCATGAACTATTGGAACTCATTTACAAAATTTTTCTTAAACATTACATGAATATAATGTCTCATACTATAGAATTAGAATTTATAATCCCTATTCCATGATGAGAGATCTTTGAGCTATAAAGTATCATAATTAAAACTTTCTTTAGATAGGCTTTTCCTCAAAAAGCATTTTATCCAAAAAATCCAATTTAAATAAAAAAATCTAATTTTTTTTAAAAACAAAATCATTGATTTTTATCCACCGTGGGTCTGCCTCACCACCGTCTGGATCTTGGAACAAGTGTATATATTCTTGATGTGAAATGCAGCACCTCCTCCCCTTTTACCCTGCCAGTCCTTCCTGAAGAAGCTGTGCCGCTCCCGCTATGGGCCTTATCCCACCAAGCCTCTGATGCCAGTTAAATCATGGTACATGAAAAAAGTTATTTTAGTAGGGATGCCAAGAAAATGACCTCACCTCTGCCCACAGTAAGCTCTCTGATCCTTGTCTAAACATGAAGTAGTTTTCCCAGCTAGGGAGTCTGTTTTCTCCTTTTTCCCTCTGCCATATTTTTCTGTGGCTTGCATTAACCAGAGTTTGTTTTCAAAGCTTCTGTAACATTTTGACTTTCTTTTGCAGGTGGTATACACTTCACTCCAAACCAGGCAAGAAGGAAAAAGAGAGAGGAGAGATTGAGGTGGATATTCAATTCATGAGGAGCAACATGACAGCCAGCATGTTTGATTTATCCATGAAAGACAAGTCCCGGTCTCCATTTGGCAAGCTGAAAGGCAAACTCAAAGGAAAGCGGGCCAATGGACTGCCTGACACAGCATCAGCCATCATTCCCAGCATAACTCACTCACCAGCTGATAGTGAAGAGGAGTCCTCTGAGAAAGAAAAGAAAAAATCCAAGATCAAAACCCTGTTTTCTAAACCTGGTTTGCAGAAAACCTCCCTCTCCCAGTCCATGTCAGTTTTACCTGCTTTTCAGCCAGTGACGGAGAAAGTTAGGCTTAAACCTGGTGACTTTCAGTCAAATTGGGGGGAAGATGATAAGTCCTTTCCTCCAAATTCAGAAAGTGAGTATTTCCTCTCACAATATTATACTTTATTACTATCTTAAATCTTTGCTCAAAAGAGAGCTTGATTTTGATACAGTAGATCAATTTATTGACAGAATATTAGCAAAGATTCCACCCATTATTCTTATGAAAAAGAAAATGACAAAGTATTTGAAGATGTTGGCTAAAATAAGCATTAAAGCACTGTTGGTAGTACATTTGTAGGTGGGTGATCAGATGCAATTTTCTTTTATTGTATGCATTTTGTCAAAACAGTAGAGCTGACCGGGAATTTTCCGATGAAATGCTCTGCCTGATTCGGAGTGGGGTCTTGAACCTGGGTGTCTGACATCCTAGGTGAGTGCCATAGCTACCAGGCTTTTGGCTAGTCTGCTGGTATGGGTGCACGTCTCTTTGCACTCCAAAAAAAAAAAAAAAAATGTTGTTTGTTCTGAATGCAGAATGAAACCAAATATCAAATCCTTAATTTTTTGTGAAATGGAGTTCTTGTTTTCTGGCCAACACCACAAAACAGGACTATTGTAGCTGTATGTTCACAGATCCATTGAAAAAAATTTAAGAAGAATTTGTCTGAGACCATTCTTTGTATTGCTGGAGCCATTTTGGATGAAATAGAATACTTCTTCCTTGTGATCTGCCACTTACTGTGTGACTGTCATAGAAAATTGCCTCCTGCGTACATGCCATGCCATCCCCCCGCCCCCCCCCCCAAAAAAAAACAAAACAAACCTCAAAAACATAAACAACCCAAACACCTGTACAGCAGAGGTTTCCAAACTGTGAGGCCCGGGACTTTTGATGGGGTGCAGCAGGGCCTGGGGTGGTGGGAAGAAAGCGGCAGCAGCCCCTCCCTGTCCCCAGCTATGTTCTGGTCCTTCCCGCAGCTGTGTTCCTGGCCCCACGCCTGGCCCTGCCCACACTCTCAGCCCTGTGGGGCCTTCCCCCCCCCTTCCCCCTCCCACACAGCTGCAGTCCCAGCCTCGGTTCCCTTTCCCTTGTCCGCATCCCCTGGCTTTGGGGGGGGACATGGCACAGACTGGGTAGGGTGGGCCCAACCCACAAAAGTTTGGGGACCACTGCTCTACAGGGCGATATTCCTGCTTTAGATACATTTTCTGTATCTCTAAACATAATTTTTCCATTGTCATGAGTAATCATTGAGTCTTTCAGCACTTTAGACTGTAATATTGACTGTCACCAGGAAATATGTTTTTCATAGCTTTAATGTCTCATTTTTTTTCAGAGGCCTTTGGAAACAAAGCTGAAGATAACTCACTACATGTTCCTGTAGTCATGGCTCATAAGAGAACAGCAAGTGCAGACAATAAGCAACTAAACGAGATAACCTCCAGCAACACCAAGAAAGACGGGCTCTCCTTATTCAGTGGCCTTAAATCCAAAAATGATCCCACACCCCGATCCAATGTGTGTATCAATGGTAATCATGTTTATCAGAAGGAAAGCGAAACAAAAAAGGAAACCATGCCAAAGGACAATACTCCTTCCTCTTCCCCTCAGACATTCAGGAAAAACCAGCCCTCTGAATCAGAAGAAAACTTGTCTTCCAAATCCAGTAAGGAACATGAAAAGACAGGAAGAGTGTCTCCTAGCAGAGGTTTATCTGGGTCTCCCTCACTGGAGTCCTTTAAGTCTATGACCCTACCATCATACAAACTGCTTAGCGGTGGAGATTTACTGGGAAATAGTGCTTCACTGAGTTTAGAAACTGCAAAAGAAGAAACTAAAGAGGACAAAAAACAAGAGAACAAGAAGTCTTTATTGTCTCTAGTCACAGGAAGAAAGGAAGTAGTGAAAAACAATGATGTAGAAAACATGTCTGACATGACTTTGAAGGAGAGAGAAGCCAAACTTCTTGAAGAAAAGAAGAATGAAAAAGATGTAAAACCTGTTGAAATCCCTAAGGACTACAACCAAGAAAGTACTCCGAAAAACAGCAACACAGCAGATGTCCCCAGAAACAAGAAATCACATAACCCCTTTGATGAATTGCTTATGGATGAACAGAAACCAGAAAAGTCTGCAGCCTCTGCAAGGACAATCCAAACCAAAGCTGTCAAACCCAGGTTAGTCTTGTTTTATTTCAGTTTCAGATTCTGATATAAAGCACTGCAGGCATATGGCCAGACTGGCCCACTTCCTGCCACAAGGTAACATTTCTGTAACTGTTGCCCTTTACAGCATCTCTTGTGAGGGACTCATTTGTGTTTTACCAGTAGATGAAAGTTTAACCAGTTAAGATTATTGGTATAAATATTAACTTTTACTTCCATTCTTAACCAATTTAACTTCATATATGTGTCGATGCACTAACATAATGGTTTTTCGTGCCTGTATCTTTTCAGATAGTATGAAGTAATTTATTCCGTGTTGTTCTATTAATCCATAACAAAAACTAACAATATTCTCCTGCCTTACTGTCTAAGTTTGGAAGTGTGTAGAAGGGCTGAAATATCACCTTTAATCAAGCCTATTGCTCTCCACTATAATTCTTGCTGTGGCTTGAAGAATGGCAAATCTTGGAACACATCTGCTTTTGGCATCATTCAGTTTCATGAAGTAGATTCTGGCGTTGTATGTGAGACTTTTTTCAGAAATTCTGCTCTGTGACTTACATATATGAAAGAAGTGTGGCCTTACTAACAAATGTCCTGAGCTGTCTGTCTTTAACGCTAGATCTTCAATTACATTTATGTTTAAACGCCTTGTGTGTAAATGAAACATCTTAAGCTATTATGCTATTAGTACTTATGTCTTGGATGCAAAAGAAATTATGTACAATTGCTTTAAAAGTAGACATCACCCTAGTAAACTTTGATTTGCATGTAGCAAACTTTACAACATAAGTTTTTTGCATCACAAGTATTGGTATTGCATAGAAAATATTTAAACATAAAATGTTTCAAGCTTGTTTTATTGGTCCATTAAACTCTTAAGTCCTTGCAGTTCCTTATACATCATTAGTATGTTGCAAATTTTGTGAAATCTACCTTTAGAACTTGTCTTTGTCTCTCTCTCTCACATGTTGCATCTGCAACTGACACGCAAGTTTTTGTCCCTTTTACAGACTGGGAGTGTCTTCAGAGGATGAAACCGAAGCCACGCTTCCTACTTCTGTGCCTGATTCCTTTCCTGTTTTCCTTTCTGCACATCATTCTAGTAATGACAATAACCCTTTCACTTCTAAAGTGGGACAGAAATTTAAAGCACAAAACTCTGGTAGCCCTCTTCCTCCATCTCTCATTTCTGGACAATGTTCTAATGACAATAATCCTTTCATTTCTGACTGGGGACAGGAATCCAAAGCACAAGACTCTGAAAGCTTCATTCGTCCTCTCTTGTATTTCCCCCATCCTCCTGCAACTCTGGGGCATATTTCTTCTCATCTCCTTTCTACTCCTCATTCTATTGACAATAACCCTTTTGTGTCTAAACTGGGACAGGAATCAAAAGTGCAAGACCTCAAAAGCTTTACTAATCCTCCCTCTTTCTCCCTTCCTTCTGCTGTTTCTAGCAAAAGCAGTTGTTCCTTTGTAATAAACTTTGCTGATTCGGAGCATCCTGCTTTTGTTTCTTCAGAGGAGTCTCAAAATGAAAGTTTGACTAATGATACAAATACTGTATCAAATTCTCTGGGGTCACTGTCTGAGTCTCCTCCTCTACCTGTGTATGAAAGAGTTGGGCAGACGCCAAAGAAACAATGTGATGCCAAAGAGGTACAGATAGTATCACCGCATAACAAAAATAACAGAGGCTTTAAGAAATCGGTGACCTTTCATCTTGATGAGTTGGAAAATACTGATTCCAGCAGAAATCATGCTGAGGCTTTAGACAAAGAGCCACGTGAGAGATGGCATCCTGATCAATGTGAAGAAATGTTCACCACTGATCCAACTGTAATAGAAAAGAGACAAGGGTTTGCCTCTGTGCTGGGTATAGAGTGCTACCCTTCATCTAAACTCTGTGATGAAAGTAGGAATTCTGTTCAGAACAATGAGAGCACTGTTCAGGGTGATGTTGAAACCAGCAGTACAAGTGCTGAAACCTGGATGAAAGATAGCAAAGAACTAACTTCACTCTCCAAGTCTAATCATAGCCTTTCACCTGGGAATGCTGTGGTACAGCCATCTTCTGCTGAAAGCAAATTAAACGAGGAGCAAGAACTATGTAGTGGAAAGAAAATTAAGCATTCACTCAAAATGGAAGAATTTGGGCTCACATTAGAGTCCAAGGTAACTCATGCCATCAAAAGTGACTCTTCAGTTCAAGTAGAGCTGCCAAAACCCACCCCAGGAGTTCACACATTGCTCCCTAAGGACCTTAACAAGTCAGAGGATGTTACTGAACTCAGTCCTCTATTTGCAAAGCCAAAGCCTATCCGAAGAAATGCTGTAAAACTAAATAAGCGTGCACCTGTTTCTCTGACTGGTAGACTGAAAGATGAAGAGCTGCTTACTTCATCTGACAGCACAATGTCTGAGTCTGAATTTGTGTTTCATAGAGAGAATCCCATAAACCCACATGAAAACCCAGCATGTGACAGCTTATTAAAAACAGCCACTCTGTCAACTACACATCATCTTGACAGAGATGATAGCAATAATGGACACCTAAAACACAAAATTTATGGTCATGATGATTCATTATTTGACTCTGGAACAGACCTTAAGTCTGCCATTCCAATTACTGGAGATCAGAGTCGAACACATGTTGGCCTTCCAGTTATTCCAGAAGTAGGATCAGATGATGAGCTTCTAGAGAACTATCAAAAGAACAATGAAATGACTGCAATTTATAGAAGTTTTCCAAATACTGAAAATCAGTGTGTAGATTCATTGTCTGTCACTGAGGAAGAAAAGCTCAGTTCAGATATGAGCTCTACTGATAGAGCAAGTATATTGCTTCAGAAGGGAGAAGGTGGCCCTTCTAAATCATCCAAACTAAATTCAGTAGTAGACATTCATAGTGCAAGCAGCAAGACTAGTGAGTCAGGTTTAGATATGCTGTCTTATCCTAGTGAGCATGGATGTGTTGTTGAGGAACAGGAACCAAAGGAATCTAGCAGTATTAAGGAAAGTAGGAAGAGTGATTTTTTTGAGCCCTCTGAAAAGTCTGTTTCTTTTACCTCCCTCTCCAGTTCTTCCCAACTCTCCCCTTCCTCTAGTTCCCTCCAATCTGGCACTTGCAACAGTAGTAGAGCAGAATCAGTGAAAAAGCCACCAGCAGAGAGCTTCAATCATAAAGTCGAAAATGCTGGCAAGAAGAAGGTGCTTCAGGCATGGGTTTCACCCTCTGAGACACTTCCCAATCAAACACAGCAGAGTGGTGGAAGTGTGTCTGTTAAGCACAGGTGAGAATATGGGGAAATACATAGAAAATGTCTGTGTTGTACAAGACATCATTTTTTCTGCTGCAGAAATATCACAATAGTTTTTTCATTTTGATGGGACTTCATACAATCTTAACTTGGTCTGACTTTTGGACCCTGTCCGAGTCCTATACCATACCAGTGTAAGACCACCAAAACTTTGATTAGCAAAAAAATCAGTGATTGCATCAAACAGAACTGTGCACCCAAAAACTTAGAGTGAGCGGTGGCAATGCTTTGTGCAGATCTAACAGTCACAAGACTTCTGTCATTTATGGCAAGTTGTTTATATTAGGGAACTCATTGGTCAGATATGGATTTATGCTTTTTGAATAATGCTACTTTAATACTACAAATATTCCGGTGTCAACAGCTGGATTTGGTAAACTGCATTGTGATCTCTAGCTTTTCAGAAATGAGGAAATACAATCAAAGGCAGTACTGAGAACTGTGTTGTTCCCTTAACTAGTAGAGTAAAGATTTCTAAGTATTAAAATGTACTACAGACAAACTTACTTCATGTGACTAATAGGCCTGACTCCCAGATGATCAACATGCTTTTGGACGTCCAGAGCTGTTCACAGCTCCAACTGACTGGCACCCCATTATAGTCTGAGGTGCAAATTGGAGCTGTCTTTTCCTGTGAAACTCTGCTGGCCTCAGAACTGCTTTATCTGTCTCACGTATTGTAGAGCTCCACAGTAGGAACTGCAGGGAATTACTGTTCAGAAATTGATTGAAACGCAGTTGGGTAACTTACTTCCACTTTTTAAAATTGCCATTATAAATGGGTCTAGAGAACACAAGATTATGTCTAGGCATCTAGTGTGCCTTATGCCAGAATTAGTCCATTTAGAGAAGACGGAATAAATCTGCTGCCCAAGAGGATATTTGGTATGTAGACTTCTAATGAAGATAATGTGGGAAAATTATGTAGAATCTAACTCTTATAGTAATTTGTGTATAGTTTAAAAACAAAAACAAACCCACAACCAAACAAAAACTAAGCACTCATGAATATAGTGTAAGCACCTCATGTAACCAACTTCTGTTATGTGATGATTCCAGTTACCATGATACTGTTTCTTTTTTTGTTTGTTTTTTGAATGCAATAAAAATAAGTCACAGAACAGTGTGTGTGTGTGTGTGTGTGCGCACGCGTACGTACATATGTACGTACACGTACACACACCCAATGGAAGACTATAACTGGAGGTAGAACTTTGTCCTGGAACTGAATTTCTCGTACCTTGAGGTGTATAAGGAAATTCATTAAATTCCCTCATATTCAGTCTTACTGGATTTAGAAACCTGTTGAATGCTTTGCTTGTGATAGGATATCTAAATGTTAAGGAACTGCCTAAACAAGGTGCGGCTTTTGTTTCAGACCTCATCCTGTGAAGCCAATGAACACCACAGCAAATAAGTCGCATACTAAAAATTTGACCACAACCACAAAAATGGATGAAAACTGGACTGAGAGCAATAGAAAGGTATGAAAGAAATTGAAACTTGGGTTGTAGCTTCATAATGGTTACTGTAAACTTCATAGCTTCCAGGGCACTCAGTGTGAACTTGCCTACTCAGGGTAACTTACATTTTTTGGCTCTGACACTCAAGTGATATCTGTCAAAGGATTTCCTTATTTTCTCTATTTCCCAGCACTGGGAGGAAGAAATTGAATTCACTTTTTGTTCTTATTCAGTGCAAAAAGAGGCTCCTGATGGGGTCTCCCAAGGAACTGTGGCTGTACTACTAGAGGAAACCCAGAAGTGTTCTTTGGTTCCCCACTAGATGGGTAGGTTGATGGGGAGGCTTGGTTGTGAGCCAGGAAGATGACTAGTAGGAGTGCCTGGGTGGAGGGTGACAAGTAAATATGCTACTTTGTAGGCAATCCTTGCTGTCTCCAATGTGTGGGGTGTGGCCACTGTAGCCTGGAGTCTGCTTACACTGTACTTACTCGAGGTGGTTGTGGGCAGATAGTCGCTATCTGCTGCACTGGTGATCTTCCTTTCAGCAGAGACTAGTGGGACCCATCACCTTGTAACTTGCTGCATCGGCAGCTTCCATGATTAAGAACTTCCTCCACAGGCTGAAAGCCCAAATGCCCATTTGTTAACGCAGGAGAATGTTGCCTCAAAAAAGTAGGTCATATTTCTAGACGTGCATGGCTAAAAGCTTTCACCTTCTTTCTCTTCCCCTCAAATCTCTGAGAAGTATTGTCTGAGTGTTTGCATAAGTTCTGATCCCTGAGGCACCATTAGATAAAAGGTCTGTAAAATGAGAGCAAACCATGTTCTGAGAAAATTCAGAATTCCAGGCACACACTGGCTTGTAATGTAGGATTCCTCATCTTAAGGAGTGTCTGCATGCCTGCGTGCCCTACCCCAAATGGCAGTGAATCTCAGAGCCTGGTTCAGCTGACCTGGACTTATGCCGCAGTGCTGAAAATAGGCATGTAGCCATTACTGCTCTGGTTCTGAGACTTCTAAGTAAATGGCCACAAAAGAAAAATGTGACTGAAAAGTTGAATTTTTTCACTTAAACTCAGGTGTACTGTCCTTCAGAGTCTACAGAAGCCTGTTTTCTTAAACATCTGTTGTTTCCAGACCACACCTTAGCTGTACAAATACAAAACTATTCCCTGTCATGCCACTGAGATACAGCTATGAATAAGGCTGCTGTACAATGAGTATTTTGTACTAAAGTAATATTTGTGCTAATGCTACGTTTATTTTTGCTGCAATAAAAAGGCAGCATAACCGGTTACTTAGCCACGGTTACTAGAAATCATCCCTACCCAGCGCTTAAACCAGCAAACATAATTTTAATGTTAAGAATAACTCTCCAGCAATGTATTGCTAATTTGTCAAAATAGAAAATGATGGTAACTGTCTTTTTAAAATTTCAGTCTCGAGGTCGTCAAGTACATTCACTGCTGTTTAACCTGAGCTTGAATCTCACTTTTTTCAGTATATTGTAACTTGTGGTTCTGTAGATCTTTCAGTGCTAGTATTACATGAGGAATTTTTTATGCAAGTCTTTAGGCCATTGATGTCCTGGGGTAATAACTCATCTGTCCTTTGTTACGGACTCAAATTTATCCTTAAACCCCATGCAAACCTGGCATTCACATATAACTGTAAATTGCTGACAAATATAGAGCCATAAACTTGAGGCTATGGAAAACTCTACCAAATTTTGTCTCCATTGTGAGTCTTACTTCCCCTTAGAATAGATGCCCTGGGCTTCCTAAATCCTACAGTATCAAATATTCTTGTGCCATAAAAGTGCAGTACTTAAATATTTTTCCTTTTACTTTCCTTTCCACATAATCTATTGTTATAAAGCTCCACCTTTCCACATTTTGGAAGTGCATGAATATCTGCCAATAATGATAACTTTGCTGTCATTTCTAGCTGCCATTGCTCAGTGCCGTAACAGATGTCTCTCTTGCAATAGCAGTTGCATTGTATCACTTTACCATACTGGTTTGGTCTTGCAGCTTTTCCCTGTCATTGCTGATGTTGCAAGCCTGGCAGGTTTTGTCCCTGGGGAACTTGCTTTTCCTGTTCACTGAAGTAGTAATGACTAATAAATCCTGTCAAGTATCAGAGGGGTAGCTGTGTTAGTCTGGATCTGTAAAAGCAGCAAAGAGTCCTGTGGCACCTTATAGACTAACAGACGTATTGGAGCATAAAAAGCTTATGCTCCAATACGTCTGTTAGTCTATAAGGTGCCACAGGACTCTTTGCCGCTAATAAATCGTGAAATGCCAGTTGTGTGAAACTTTTAACAAGATGTAAAGTACAGTAATTTCTTTGAAGAGCAATACTGTTTTGGTAACAAATATCCCTGGAATTCTTCAGCCTTCCCTGAATACAAAGATCATTAGGCAGTCTTCTCAGATTACTGTAAAACACTTATTTCTGCACTGACCCTGTCTGTCCTCTCTCTCCAAAAGAAATATGATCCTTCGGACCCTGCCTATGCTTATGCTCAGTTAACACATGATGAGCTGATCCAGCTGGTGTTGAGACAGAAGGATACCATTACAAAGAGAGATCTCCAGGTGCGGGAGCTAGAAAACTACATTGATAACTTGCTTGTCAGAGTCATGGAAGAAACTCCCAACATTCTTCGGGCTCCATCTCCAAAAAATATGGCTGGAAGGATGTAAAACCTCTGCCAGTAAATCTGAATAAAGGATTGGACTCCCATCTTGTTACTCAAACTTCACAGGTAGATAATGTGAAGTTGCTGATGTTCTGGTATCTGCTGCCTACCAAAAAAAAAAAAAAAAAAAAGTGTCACCTTTCTGTGTCTCTCGCAAAAAGTTGATTCCACTTATCTGGAGACTAGTTAATAATTATACCAGGTCTAGAATACATGAGCCAAAAATACAGTAGTCAGAAGTCTTCCACCTTTCTTTCTGGTACACTGTAAATATTTTACCGCCACCTGGGAGGCATTGTTAAAGAATGTAATCAGAGGCCTGAGATTCATGTGGCTGTGAATGTTTTTGAAGCCATTTTTCTCAGTGAGGCACTGGTGGTTGTTGGCTTCTGAGCTTCTTTATTTTATTAGTATTGGGAGTTTAGATTAACGGTTGGTGTTTTAAAAACTGAACCATTATTTCTCAGACTCAGAACAACAGTTGTTCGTAATTCTGAGACTTAAGTTGTAGTGCAATATAAGCCATCACATACACTAATTCAAGGATTTGATTGCTTTGTTCAAATAATTATATTACAGAAGTTGAAATGCACTCCAGAAAGAGGTTTGGTAACCATAAGTTGCCTTATTGTAAAAAATGTAATGCCCTTTAAACGTGCTATAAAATTGGAGGGCCTTTAAATCTACATGAAAATGTGATTGTACTAATGAAGTGTCTACATCTCATTTTGGGAAGGGAAGCGCAAAGCCTGTATAAACCTAGTGTTGAAAAATTTCTGATGAGGCTCTTATGGCTGCTTTAATATAGCAAAAATCAAACAAAGATACAATTGCCATTCGACTACAAGATTAAAGAACAGTTACGAATTTTAGATGATACAGTGATCTGAATTGGGAGCTGTTTTGTTTCATAGCCATCATATCCCTGATTTGAAGGTTCTTGTTCAAACTAGGGGGCACACAACTCCCATACAGTTTACTTGGTATCCTGTATAAACATGTATGCACCCGTTTCCTTTGTGGTGTACATGCTTAGTTTGTTTATATTGCTATGCAGAGCAAGTCGTGAAGATTTTTCTATTGTGCCACTGAAGATCATAGCTTTTTAAACATGCTGTATTTGGGAAACTAGGACTTACAGTATGGAACAGCTGTCCCAGTTGATTCATATGGAACATCTAAACTGTATATATCTATATGTGGATAAAGTAAAAGGCACATGTGACCTGGTTCTCTTAGTAAAGGAGCATTCAAATGGTGGCTTTTAAAAATGTCTGGTTTCCAGTAATAAGATTTGTGGTTGAGAATGTTGGAACAGGTTTTGTTTTATTTTAAATGTAGTCAGAAGACATCGTGCTGCTATTTTGCAAGATAAATCAGATATCTCTGTCTGAATCTTTTGCCTTTGTCTGCTGTAGCTGTGCAGTTTGCCATGGGACAGGCATTTCCCATTTATATCTGATAGCAAACAGCAAGACACTCGCAAACAATCATTTTAGGAGGCTTACTTTAAATCATTCTTTTAGGATAGTGTTGATAGGAATTGTCAGTAAAACTCAGCACTTTGATGGAAAGTTGTGATTGGATTCAGCATTACTTTACATCCACATTTAATGTTGGGGCTGATGTGTGGCAAGCTCTCAATTTTAACAGCTCTGTGCTCACAGCTCTCAAATTGACTTCTTGAAGGCACAGTGAGGTTCAGTGATACATTATTATAGTACTTTGGATAATCTGTTTTTAACATCTAGCATGTATTGTGAAGCAAAAAAATAAAAATAAAACAAACTCTACCCTTTATGAAGGTGAAAGGGTCCATTAACTCTTCCCTAAAGTTCTGAGTGATAATTTCACCTATAGTTTAGGAGGGCACAGTTTCTCACAGTATTCTTTTCATTAAAGCACTTTAATGAGAGGTGAGACAAGTTGAATTTCCTCTTAGCCTTTTAATAGTCTATTGCCTTATATTTAATATTTTCATAAAACACTGGAGACCACTGCAAACTTCTCAGATATTGTTTTTTCTGTAGCAAAGCATAATTTAATCTATTTACATAGAAGAAATCAATGTTTACTGGAATTGTATATAAATATATATGCTGTTAAGTGCATTTGTTACTTTGTGATTGGTTATGTGATTACAAAAGTGTAGACAAAACTTCACTGCCCTATCATACAACTTTCCTTCAACGAAAGCCATAAACGAAATAATTCATAATACTATGAATGAAAGGTTTAAGGTGTAATGTTCCTTTCTAGGACCACAGGTACATAGTAGCAATGAGTGGTTGAGCAGATGACTTCAGTTAAGGGGTAA